TGCAATCAATACGCACAGAACGTCCGTATACCTACCTATGTGTTACCTATATCGTTGCTCGGGAACATAACCACTCGACATGCATACGAGCGATTCTAACATGTGCGTTGTACTTGGTAGAATAACTTTTCATACATATCCTCGTAGTAAGCAATAAAATAATACTTTAATTCTGGCATGTACTTTTACGTAACTAGCTGCTGTAGAAGTGTTAGAGCATCATAACCCGCGGGCTTATAGTGGAGCGGCCGGGGCCCAAAAAAAGCCTTATTTAAGGAGTTACCCCTCCCCACGTTGAAACAATGCAAATGAGGTATTGTTGGATTCGTTAGGATTTCTGATTTATGAAAAACAATGTTTTACAGTCAGATTCTAATTAAAACATTGCCATTTAACGCCTTGTTTGCTAAAACGCATAAAAATTGGTGAATTTTGGAATATCTTCATAATTGTTATTTTGGCACCTGAAGACTGAAAGCTGAAAACTGAAAACATATTAATATCACATTAATTCCTTTCTGCTAAAGACACTCTGACATTATTTAGGGGTTTAACCCACTTCAATAGGGGTTTGGGCCCCTTAATATCCTAAAATCGTGGGTTTTACCCCTTTTTGCCATTTTCCAATCCTAAGTTTTGATGCAGTACACCTCCCCTACATTAGAACAAAACAAATCTGGTCTCATTTGATTCGTAAGGATGTCAACTGTATGAATATTGATGTTTGATTTGCATATTTTAATGCTAACATGGCTGATTAACACGTTCCCCGCGGATCCACGACTCAACTCGTGGGAACAATCAAAACACATCCCCGCGAATCCACATAACACGTACACGCATATATACTACTATACAGGCAGTAATATGTACACGCATATATACTAGTAGACAGGCAGTAACACGTACAAGCATATATACTACTAGACAGGCAGTAACACGTACACGCATATATACTAGTAGACAGGCAGTAACACGTACACGCATATATACTAGTAGACAGGCAGTAACACGTACACGCAT